GGGTCATTAAAGCACTCTTTTATGCTAGAGTGTGCCAACCAACACAAATTTAAGTGTTGCTGCCAATGTAGCCTCTTTAAAACAATGCAAATGACTTAAAATGTATATAGTTAGGCTATGAGCCCACAATGCACTCTGACCTTGCTCCAGTGGCTATCTGTCTTCAAACCCTGATCCTATAGAAGCATGAAATACATAAATGGAGCCCTCTTCTCTCTAAAGATGGATTTTTTGTAAATGTTCTACCGTTCTGTGCTTCATTAAGGCTGATGTCGATGCTGCTCTGCTCAAATATGAAGGCTTTGGCCCTCCATAGCTTGTCAAGTGTGTGCTGGAGTGGATCGGTATTGAGCAGGGGTCAACATGTCTGCTTTAGGCCCTGGACTGCAGTCATGAAACACTCATCCTGCAACAGACTGCGATTCCGGCAATCCTATAAAATCATTACAAATCACACTGTACGACATGCATGTAGACTGTACGATGATGACACCTATTAAATCGTAGGCTACAACGCAAGTTTGTATAGAAGAATAAAACATCATCAGCATGCACTAGTGGTAAACAAATAGAGCAAGATGAATCGGACTTTGGCAATTTTATGTGCACTGGAAAAACAGGAGTAAGGGAAAGAGAAGAAAATGGACGCAGTCATGGCTAGGGAAAAGAGGCCAACTTTGCAGATGGAATTTAAAGGGATAGTTCAGTTTGAATTTAATTTTTGATATGTTTTAGCTTACCTCAAGGGCATCCAAGATGTAGGTGTCTTTGTTTCCACAGTATTTTCATTTTTGATATTTTTTCGGTCAAACCGTTGTTGTCTGTCAGGCCTATAATGCAGGTTTAGGGGGTCCACCTCAAAGAGCATGCACAGAAAAGTCAAAATTAAACATGATTTAATGACTCGGGTATGCAAGTACACACTGATGGCCTAAGACACGAAACGAGCGGTTTGTGTGAGAAAACGAACAGTATTTATATAGTTTTTACCTCTTGTTAACAGCCGTCGAACTGATCTGAATCAGATGTCCAACTGAACCGTCTCCAAAGTTACGCCGGAAGCAGAGTATGTGAGCGGAGTGGAGTGGGAGCGGAGCGAGGAGTGGAGCGGCATGATTTTGAATGGAGCGCGGAGCGGATTTTTTAAAAGTCGGAGCGTCGTGGTTTTCACTCGCTCCGAGCGCGCTCCACTACCGCTCTATCACGAGGACAATTCATGCCAACGGCTCATTATAGAACTGCATTTTTAGTAAGGATTCACGTGTTAAACACATTACGCTAGCATGATACAGATGGATCACTCAAATCAGAAAAAAATGTGAGGGTTATGATGACGCCGATGGACATGAGTGGCTGCGGGAGGTTATAGTTATCAAGCCTGTACTGAATATGAGCGGGCACCACGATCTCATGAAAGTGCGAATCTATAGCACACATTTTATTTCTCGTGCCTATTATTATATGCCAAAAAATTGTTTGTGCGTGCAAATGACGCACACTAAACCCCTTGGTTAGGATGGGTGTGAAGTGCGTTCTTGCCAGTAAGTGCGTATCGTAGGCTATGCCCACGAGAAATAAAATATAGATAGCCTACGCACTTTCATGAGATGGGGCGCTAGATCGGGCGGGGTGAAAGCACATTTTAAACAGGTAACACTTATTCACCAACGCAATCGCTTTCTCACTAATGCATTGCATTCAAACAAATGTAATCATACAGTCGGCTATCTGTCAGTATTTGATTTTAAATGAGCATGAATCTGTGAGAAATGTAGCGACCCGTAGATAAATAACTGATGAAAACGTAGTTATTTTCTTCTTTCCAAACAAAATGTGCTCTGCAAAAAGCAGCAATGATATTTAATTTATAATGCTGATAACCTGTAATAAGCATAGCATGTCATAGGAAAAGTTTGCACACTATCCAAATCCAATAAACAACTATTCTCCTAACGTTGTTTTTTTTATTTATTTACTATGCCTATGTATCTATTATGATGAGGAGACATTTTGTGAGATTTTAAAGCATACTTAAATACTTTATTCGGAATTTCATTGGGGAGCGAACACGGAGCGGTGTTTCTGATATCAGTGAGCGAGGAGTGGAGCGGGAGCGGTAAATGGTGAACCCGGAGCGGAGCTGGAGCGGAGTGATTATATAATACTTGGAGCGTGGAGGGGAAATTGTTGCCGCTCCACTCCGCTCACATACTCTGGCCGGAAGTGATCTCTCACTCGTCTACGTCACGCATTGCTTACACGGAGATTTCGGAAGTTTTACCTTTCACTAAACATATTTAGATATACGGGAAATCGCAATGGAAGATGTTTAGGTAAAAAGGTAAAACTTCCGAAATCTCTGTGTAAACAATGCGTGACGTAGACGCGCGAGAGATCGCTTCCGGCGTAACATCTGGAGATGGTTCAGTTCGGTTCAGTCGGACATCTGATTCAGATCAGTTCGACGGCTGTTAACAAGAGGTAAAAACAATATAAATACTGTTAGTTTTCTCACACAAACCGCTCGTTTCATGTCTTAGGCCATCAATGTGTACTTACATTCACGAGTCATTAAATCATGCTTAATTTGGACTTCTCTGTGCATGCTCTTTGAGGTGGACCCCATAAACCTCCATTATATGACTGACAGACAAGAACGGTTTGACCAAAAAATGTCAAAATGTCAAAATTGAAAATACTGTGGAAACAAAGACGCCTACATCTTAGATGCCCTTGAGGTAAGCTAAAACATTTCAAAAATTAATTTCAAAGTGAACTATCCCTTTAAGGTACGTAGTAGCCTAGCGTCATGTCGCTTTGATCAATACACCAATTCATGTCGCATTTTTATTTGCTAGTCAGTAGACGTAGGTCGTAGCAGCAAATACGTGAGAAGATCATGCTAAATTTCTGACAGTCAGAAAGTTATTGCAGGCTATGTTTGGTCTCGTGACAGTGACAATGGCCGTCTTTGAACCTCTCTCACTGAAACGACGTAGAACCACCGTTTAGAAGCCACGACCACAGAAATCGCCACAATTAGTCTTCTTTCAAATTCGTAGAACGTGTACCAGGCATCAGGCCTGAAATACTGAGGAGATACTAAATTAATTTTCTTTTTGAATTCAGCAAATGAGCCTGTCTTTAATTCAGATACTATATCTTGACACATCATGCAGGGTGATCTGTGCCAAAACTGTCCTGAATAACTGAATAATATATATCAGAGGACGCAGGATATTGTAGATCAAACTTGCATTGCTCAATATTGAACCTGCTGAAAGCAGAAAGCCTCCCTAGTGGCTCTTTGCTATTGGTAGAAAGTTAGTCTTTTGTCTTTATTGACAAAGAAGAAACTGTGAAGATCCTATTAGTAAGCAATAAAGTTCTCATTTTGTTCTCATTTCAAGATCCTATTTGCATTGCTGTGTACTGCTTTCAGAAGTAGCTACCATACACCATCATAACTGAAAAAATTACAATAATAATAATAAATAAATAAATAAAACATAAAAATTTAGAATGCTCTACATACTGTGCAAGCACACAAACTGAACAAGAGACATTTGAATCCAATAGTATTGTGACAAGGACTTTTGAGTGGGATTCATTTGCGGTTTATTGAACAGCAAGTTCACAGTATATGCAGGTTTGGGTCTTATCACCAGTATAAACAACAGTGTCAAAGGCAGCACAATAATCAACGTCATAACCGGGCAAAGGATCAGGGCAGGCAGCAAACAAGTAACAGTCCAGGCAAACGATAGGGTCAGACAGGCAACAAGAATATTCACTAGCGTTTACAAGTTCTTGATGTTAGCATGACGCTAAGCTAATGGTGCAGGAGAGCTTTAAAATGCTGTCCATCTTGATTCTTGACAGATAATTAGGTTTTGAAACAGAACCATATGCCCAGTAATTGTCCGCTTCAGACATTTTACTAACTGTAAGTAACTTTGCAACTACTGTAAATGTCAACTACCAATCATTAGAGTATTAGTAGAATGTCTGCTTAATATCTGCAAACACTTTATTTTGATGGTCTTCAAACATTTGACATTCTACTGACTATAAAGGTCACTGATTTTTTTTTCTTTTGCAAATGATGAACAATTAATGCACATCAGGTGTTTTTTTTATTATTATTATTTAATTTATGAAGCCACTGTAAACTGACATATATATTCTATAATAATTGTACAAACTTAGGTAGTTTTATTGTAAATGGAAAATATTAGCATTTCTTACATTACTGCAGACAGACACACAGATCAACACATTCTCTTCCCAAGACGTCATCTAACTGACGCTTTTGACCATACGTCAACATCCAGCGTTTTAGGGTACTCTTTAATGATCCTAGGGTGTCATCTAACCATACGTCAAAATCCAACGTTTTAGGGTACCCTTTAACGTCAGTTTGATGACGATCCTAGGGCGTCATCCAACTGACGCTTTACCTTTAGCGTCAGTTAGATGACGCGGGTAGGTTTAGGTCTGGGGTAGGGTTAGGATTAGATAGCGTCATCTAACTGACGTTAAAGGGTACGCTAATTGTCGGATGTTGACGCATGGTCAAAAGTGTCAGTTATATGACGTCTTGGGATAAGTACGGGCTGGACAGATCCATTGTTTTGACCATGTGTTCAAGGTTTAAAATCATGCAACCTTTTATACATTGCTTTGAAAATATATTTTTATTCCCCAGATTTTTTTTTATTATACTTGTCTTATACTTATGTATACTTAAGTATTCTTATACTTTGAAAAACCACCAAAACAAAAGACTTATAAAGCAAAATCACAAGCTTTTTTCATCCAGAACAATTTAGACAACTCAGGAAATCTTTTCAGAGATAGTTCTACAAAAAAAATTTTAATATTTATTCTTGCACAAACATCCATGCATAAGTATGTGGAATTTTACAATGCTATTTTTTCCAGTTGTATTACCTTGTGTACAGTAGTTTTGATATTTCCATCTTCTCTTTATTTTCCAGTGTTTGCCCATCCCGGGTCATGGATTTGTGCTGGACAAGTATAAATGTCACTGCAAAAACGGCTTTTATCATCCAAGCAGAGTTGAAGTCAATGGCTTGAAAAAAAGTAAGTACTATGATAAAATGTTAAGTCAATAAATGGGATTTCAGAAAATCTTCATTACATTTCACGTAGATATTTTGTATAATATAATATACTCATGGACAGAATTAGAAATGTGTTACTGTTCATATGCTTATGGTTTACACATAGGCCTATTTAGTCAAATACACAGTGGGGTGTAGATTTCTACTTATAAAACTGCTTCTATTTTACATTTTTGTAATTTAATACATGTTTTTAATGTTTTGAAAAAGTATGAATATCTAAAAAGTATGTGTGTTTAGTATTTCATGTTTAATGATTCAAAACATTCCGTTTTCTTTCATGTTTAAATTAGATTTCAAATCCCACGTTTTCAGTGTGGACCCACTGTGCAGATGCAATGTCTTGCATAAATATTGTATTCACCCTCTCAGACATGCACACAAAGGATTTTTTGAGCACTTAGCATACCTGCTTTCCCTCTCATCTTATTGGAGCACCATGACCACACCCCTTATGTTTAATTAATTAGCTCTCTGAACAAAAACCTCTGTCAGTCTAGAGTTCTCCCAAAGTGAGCACTCCAAAACTCACAAACACACTCATGTGTAAAGGAGACTGGCAGAAAGCGAAACATATTCAGCAGTATCAGGCCCTCAGAAGGGGCCCCAGCACATGGCACTCTTTTACATCTCACTGAACACAACAATGTATAATTGGCCAATCAAATTGGCCTAAAACACTGAAAAGTTGTGCTATAATTTGAGGTTTTGGTAAAAGTTATAAAGTTGCATCTGTTTGAAGAACAGATTGTATAATCCTTCCCAACTATGCAAAGAGGTAGAGAGGCAGACAGACATCACCACAGGTCCTGCATCTGTCATAGCACTGGCTATCCTTCAATGATCTCCGATAAGTGTGTTCCTGGGAGAAGTCGGCTGTGTTCTGTCTATTTCTCTTTTATCTGCTGAGTAGTTTTCTGATTAAGTAATGTTAATGTCTCATGTCTGGCCTTTATAATCCTGGTTTTTGAAAAAATGGTCTCTGTGCAAGAAAAAAAAAACATGAATTAGTGAAAACGATGATGTCATGCACATCCGTAAAACGTGTTTAATCTGCAGTATTTCAGAATACTGTTTTAGAGTGCAAAATTGTCCTGTTTTTTTAGCACAATCTTTTTTTAACCACACCAAAGAATGATGTTTGTCCCATTTAAAGTTGTCTCTTCACATTAAACTAATTGCAGTGGTGTCCAGTCCTTCTCCTGGAGGGCCACTGTCTTTAAGAGTTAAACTACAACCCTAATTAAACACACCAGCTCCCAAGTGTTCAGGATTACTTGAAATTTCAATACTGGTATGTTGTTGATCAATAAGACCTTGACCCTCCAGGAGCAACATTACTCACTTCAACTTCAAAATCCCATTGTTTGGTGTCAACTTAATGTATTATTATTGTTGTTTAGCTTGCAATGTGGGTAATTACAGCCATAAATCAGCTAAAGTGGCATTTGTTATAATTTTTATAATTTGATTCTATTGTTTCTTGTGATACCGTGGGTTATGGTTAGATTTTAAATAAAAAATTCAAACTATTGATGAATGATGAAAAGATGTGATATGTGTAACTAAGGCAGAAACAACTGGCGCATCAAAGTGAAGGCCCAGATGGTGTGTACACACCCATCCACCCTGGCTAGCGCATGAAACAGTGTGAATTGCCTACTGATGAGACCACCAATGACTGGAGGATAGGTTGGGCTGGATCGCTTTAAATGTCATGTCTGTGCTGCTACTTTTCATGATTGTTCATGCTTTTTTTATTGGTGTGATCATATGCAAATGCAAAAATTGTAAGATACAGAGATTAAAAATAAGTGCAGAGTTAATTAAACAATTAAATCCAATTTGGGTTGTTTTCAACCCAAGCGATGGGTAAATATAGGCCAGAAGACATGTTGGGTTGATTTTACCTAGCAAATTGGGATTCTTATTTAACCCAGCATATTTGGTTGATTCATTTTTACTATAGCACTTTTTTTTAACTTCATACATGAAGTAATATTTACAGATCCTCTAATTAAAAAAACTAAACACAACCACTGGTTTGCATGATCATTCCTTTATTATTTTTTTTATCATTTTTTTACAGTATAGCATATTTTATATTATTTTGAATACTTATTGCATACATTTAAGCTTGTTTAATAAATATTGGAAGTGAAAATTAAACATTTAGAAGCAATTCAAGTGTAATCGACCCGTCTCTGTCCCATTTCCACCGTAACGGTGCTGGATCTCGTGCCGGAACTTGTATCATGTTCAGTGGGGGAACTTCTAACTTCAGACCACCACCCTGTGTTTCACTCCTAGCTGAAATACACTCACCTAAATGATTATTAGGAACACCTGACTGTTCAATTTCTCATTAATCCAATTATCTAATCAACCAATCACATGGCAGTTGCTTCAATGCATTTAGGGGTGTGGTCCTGGTCAAGGCAACCTCCTGAACTCCAAACTGAATGTCAGAATGGGAAAGAGCGTGGCTTGGTTGTTGGTGTCATACTGGCCGGTCTGAGTATTTCACAATCTGCTCAGTTACTTGGATTTTCACGCACAACCATGTCTAGGATTTACAAAGAATGGTGTGAAAAGGGAAAAACATCCAGTATGCGGCAGTCCTGTGGGCGAAAATGCCTTGTTGATGCTAGAGGTCAGAGGAGAATGGGCCGACTGATTCAAGCTGATAGAAGAGCAACTTTGACTGAAATAACCACTCGTTACAACCAAGGTATGCAGCAAAGCATTTGTGAAGCCACAACACACACAACCTTGAGGCGGATGGGCTACAACAGCAGAAGACCCCACCGGGTACCACTCATGTCCACTACAAATATGAAAAAGAGGCTACAATTTGCAAGAGTTAACCAAAATTGGACAGTTGAAGACTGTCTGGTCTGATGAGTCTCGATTTCTGTCAAGACATTCAGATGGTAGAGTCAGAATTTGGCGTAAACCGAATGAGAACATGGATCCATCATGCCTTGTTACCACTGTGCAGGCTGGTGGTGGTGGTGTAATGGTGTGGGGGATGTTTTCTTGGCACACTTTAGGCCCCTTAGTGCCAATTGGGCATTGTTTAACTTCCACGGCCTACCTGAGCATTGTTTCTGACCATGTCCATCCCTTTATGGCCACCATGTATCCATCCTCTGATGGCTACTTCCAGCAGGATAATGCACCATGTCCCAAAGCTCGAATCATTTCAAATTGGTTTCTTGAACATAACAATGAGTTCACTGTACTAAAATGGCCCCCACAGTCACCAGATCTCAACCCAATAGAGCATCTTTAGGATGTGGTGGAACGGGAGCTTTGTGACCTGGATGTGCATCCCACAAATCTCCATCAACTGCAACATGCTATCCTATCAATATGGGCCAACATTTCTAAAGAATGCTTTCAGCACCTTGTTGAATCAATGCCACGTAGAATTAAAGCAGTTCTGAAGGGGAAAGGGGGTCAAACACAGTATTAGTATGGTGTTCCTAATAATCCTTTAGGCCAGTATATGCTGTGACCGACTCCATAAAAAGCCTGCGATCAATAACTCAACCCCTGGGTTGTTCTATCTGACCCAGGATCTCGGTACCACAAAAACTACCCAAACACTGGGTTGTTACATCTGACCCAGGCTCTGGGTTACACAAAAACTACCCAAACCCTAAAAAAAAATAACAAGTGAGAGCCAAAAGGCTCAATCCAGGATTTAGTCTTGAGAACCCAATATTTTTTAGAGTGAACGAACATCATGTAACATCATTCAATTATTTATTTTAGGGAAAGCTGGTGTGAAGGGCATGGAGAGTTTACCACATTACAGTGATGTTCCAGAAAGTTCCAGCCACTGTCTGCCCTGCCAGGAAGGCTGTGATTTCTGCAAGGACAACACGCCCTGCGTGGCCCGGGGTGATGGCGCCCTGCGTATGGCGGTGCTTTCCTTCCAGGGCTTGTGCATGCTGGTGGATTTCATCAGTATGGTGCTGCTCTACCATTTCCGCAGGAACAAGGTAAGCATGTGCTGCCGGAGGGAGCTAATTAAGATGGCAACTGTTTCCATGAAGCACATCCTGTTCTTATTGACACCGGGATGTTTTCATGCTGAGTTACATTACAATTAGTCACTCGTACTCTGAGCGTACAGTATCTTACCTGTTAGGTCATATTTTATTCCTTGTTAAATTAGAAAGTAGATACATTATTACAAAAAAAGTCAAAAAACGCAAGTATAATCAAAATTGTGCATCGCTTTCATCATCATGTTACAACTACATCTTTGCTTCCATCTGAGTTTTCAGAATGTAAACTGTTCTCTATCAGTAATTAAATTCAGTGTGACAACAAAAGCGCAATCACGGCAGGTTCTCACTTTGCAATTTGATTATACTTAAATTCAAGACAGCATGTCTAGGGGATAAGAAACGGTGTATTTTAAGCCTGTATTATAGTTAATTAAAGAGATATTTAGTGCATAGACAAGTTGAGACAAATAATGTTGATAAAGGACAGAGAGAATGGAGTTTCCAGTTGACTAAATTAATGGATTACACCATTAGAAAGGAAAGAGAGAGACTAAATTTACAAAGGAATTACAGAGGAAGGAGAAAGACGTGTTATTTGTTGCAAACTAACTTGGGTAATTGACAAACCTGGAAATTCTGTCATCATTTACTCACCCTCATGTCGTTCCGAACCCATAAGGCTGGATTCACATATAGCGTCTAAAACGCGTAGAAAACGCTGGGCGTGCCGCATTTTCTTTTTTCCAAAGCGCTAGGGTGGTTGCGCTCCGGTTGGTTATTGTCACGTGACCTACTGTGCGCTTAAGGTCCGCTTGCGGCATTCTTAAAAGTTGAGATGTTTTTATCTCGATGCGGCACGGCGCTTGGAAAAAACGAGTGCGACGTACCGCGTCGCTTCTATTATTACCGTGCACCTACATTTGAAATAACGACAAAAGACGCGATATGTGAACAGGCCCTAAGTCTTTCATTCATCCTCGAAACACGGATGAAGATATTTTTACTGTTGGCTTCAATTTTCACACATACAGAGCTCATTAAATATGGTAAACGGATGTTTAAACATACTAGCTTGACACACAAGAATAAACCTCATTCGTTCTCGCATGTCAAGCAAGCAAAGTTTACCATTTTTATGTGATGATCAATGTTTATATGTATACTGTATACAGTGACTGTGTCTCTTCAGAAGATCACTTTTACAATGTCTTTATGAACTTTATAAAGGTTGAAAAAGCTTTGGTCGACTCAATGGGGGGAACAGAAATCGCTCAGGTTGCATCAAAAATATCTTCATTTGTTTTGAATATGAATGAAAGTATGACTAGTTTGGAACGACATGAGTAAATAATTAATGACAATTTGAATTTTTCACTGAACTGTTCCTTTAATGATTTCTGTCACTTATGGCATATGCCAACATGGTTCAGTCCAACCTGTACTTTAACACTGACCTTCCTTTAATTGCAAGCCCAGTCTTTGGATTGTCTCCCTGTTAATTAGATTCATTAAAATGATTATTATTTTTCCCTCTCAGGAGGAGTCTGTAGATTAGTGCACAGATTCGGCAGTCGGCTACTTATTACACACACCATTGGCATATACGCAGAGTTTTTCAGTAGCCACACCGCACATGCTACTGTCTCAGGTTGAGGAGACGTGCAGTCTATGGTCTGAGTAATAGTGGACTGGATTCACACTGACTGCGAGGAAGGTTCATTAATCCCTGCAGTGAGGCGCCGTTTAGGCTGTCGATATGTAGGGCACTCAGTTTTGATAGTGCCAGCATTTTAATTTACTCTGGAAGCATGCTCCGTCTGGGCGCTGCCTGAAAGCGCTCCATAAATGCTGGAGAAGTCTAAATGAAAGCGACAGAGTTAGGATTAGAAATTTTGTTCTGTTTCAGCCTGCACTGTCAAGTGCTTTCTATTGGCCGTTTGATTTCAGAAAGGAGTTGACAGCTCACCTGTTGCCTCTTAATGGAATTCTCATTTTCTCAGCTTGAAAGGAGACATGCTTGAGCCAGCCGGACAAACTAAATAGACATGCCGCACTTTTAGAGAATTTTTTTTTTATTTTTTTTTTTAGCTTTATTGGATAATATAAATTCCTCCACATGTAGTACCTTCTAGCTAGTTTTATTCTAACTCTTTACTTTATCGGGTTGCACCATTTGTTCTTAAGGTAGAAAGTAGCTACTAGGTCGTAAGCTTGGTCGTAAAAATAATATTTACCCTCAACGATCCAATCCGCTTGTTAAGTATGCTGTTTCTGGGAGCCTCGACTCTGTTTCAAGTGAGAATACTTTTACAACCTCTTTTTATGAGGCAGAACCTGATTTCATGAAGTACAAGAACATGTTCCTTAATTCTGGAACAAAATTCCAATCAACCAATCAGATCTGAGGAATACGTTTAAAGTTTGTCAAGTTTAGGCTTACAATCCAGGTTACTGTAGGTCCTTCTACATCAGTGTTATTCACCCATCATTTCCCACTGATTTTAGGTGTAACTTATGGGTAGGTTTAGGGGTAGGAATATGGTTGGCATTAAATTTTGGAACAGGAATGTTGTCAAAATATGTTGAACCATGAATGTGCGTCTAACTCTGCAAAATCAGGATGTGCATTTATGAGCGTATGAGTTTTGCTTTTGGGATCTGATGGAGCATTTGAACTCGGATACGGTATCGCACAACGTCAGACTTAAAAGGCGAATAATAGCTTTCAAATATCTGAGTAGAAGTAGTGTTGAAATGCCATGAATTTAAGTTTATCTTCACATAACTAATGGTAAAAATATCTTTCCAAATTAAATATGAAACTACTTTACAGTATCATGAGTAACAATTTATTTTGTTTTATTTACCAAAATATCAATTAAACTTGGGGGTGGAATATTTTGAGCAACCTCCCAGAACACTGTGCATGAGTGTGCCAACTAAAAGTATTTTAGCAGGCACTTCTTCATAGCAAACACCTATCTAATATTCTTTGGAAAATTTCAAAAAAAAAAGTTGTGAATGTCTTTGTGAAACAGAGCACGTTTATTCCAGGGCAAGGCATTAGTCTGAAGAGAACAAAGATGAATCAACCCCTGTGAACACATTAGAATAGTCCAAGGAGAATGCATTTGTGCAAAAAGGGATAAGTTATAAAGTAGTCACAAATGGAAGGTTTCCACTGACCCATTTCTTGCAAAAGAATAGTTTAAGGAGAGAAGTTTTCCAATGTGATGTTCTTTTTGATGTGTTTCAGAGTATCAGAGCGTCAGGACTCATCCTGCTAGAGGCCATCATGTTTGGAGCACTCCTCCTGTACTTTCCGGTAAGCTTTAATGACTGCAGTCATTTTTACTATGTATTACTTTAGGAGTGTTAAAATTAATGGCGCTTTGGTGACTAATATTCTTAGACTTGTACTGCAATGTAATGTAGCAATTAGGAGGAGAATGCCTTTTTAATGGCACTAATTTAAGCATTAAAGAAATGTAGCGGGATCAATTAGAGTTCAGCTCTATGGACTTCTGAATGCTGTTAAATCTGGTGATTTATGTATAATCTATTTTTTTAGAATATGAAAAAAGGTTTGATGCATGGAGAAAAATCAATCCACAGGAAGCACATCAATATTGCATACACTGAAGCCACAGATTTTGTTAGAGCTTAGCTTGTTTTGGTCCGGGAACTTTCTAAAATACAGCAAAAGTCATTTTTTTTTTTTTTTAATATATGATATTACAATACTAAATAGATGTTCACATGGTGCAGGATGCACTGAAGCAATGTAGGATCAAATAGATACTAGCCGAGGTATTTCACTGATGGACAATCTGCTGCCCATCTATCGATTAAGTATTGATTTAGTTGGCTTTATTCAGCAGAGCCGTTTGGCTCACAGTAATTGCAGTTTAGTGGCATTCACTGGAAGCTGTGGGCATGTCTTAACATGGAAGGGTAAATGCAATTAAAATGAACTGATTTAGAGGCTTAGCACATGCAAGGTCCTGGAAAGTAATAATCTTTGAGATAATTCTGGAATGATGGTGGAGGACCATTTTAGCCATTTAATCACTCTTTATGTGACCATAACGCCCGTATCCCCAAACTAGTGTGACTTCATTTCGAACAAAAGTTTGTGTTCGTTTCGGGAGTTCGAACCAGCTTGGCAAAGCTCCTTCCATAAAGTTTCCCCCTGGCTGGTAAGCACCATCGACCTACCATTAGTCCATGGTGATGATGTAATAGGTAAGTGTGGCTCTGAGACTCCGCCTTCTTTGAGGAGGAAATATTTTCCGGTTCATTTCTTCTGTTCTGTCCATCGAGGTCAGACATTTTCAAGTGAATACAATGGAGAGTCATTTTATAGTAGAAACTGAAGTTGTAATTCTAATTAAAGAGACACTGACACATTTTTAATGTTTAATACTGTAAATCTGCTTGCTTTTTAACAATCGAAAGCGGAAAAAAAAACCCTTCACCGTGAGTATCAAGGCCTATATCAAATGTCTGTGTGTTATTTTGCATAATCTTAATTTTCTTTATGCAAAATGGAATTTCTTATTTTGTTCCTTTGATTTTGGTGTGAAATTGACTTGTGAGATTTGCTCGAGGACATTTTTTTTTTGTTAACTTTGTTTTCACAGACATCTGGCTTTGGTTTAGAATTTGTTGTGGTCAAATAAGGCATAGGATTAGATTTTCTTGATTTGGGCTACTTGCAAATGTGAATCTGAATCTAATTGGTATCTATTATCTGGTCACTTAGGGTGCTTTCACACTTGCCACATTTAGTTAGGTTAAATCACACTAGAGTTCGTTGTCCCCCTTGGTGTGGTTCGTTTGGGCTGGCCTGAATGCAGCATTCGCACTCGAGTGTGTACCAAAAGTGTGCCAAACAAGTGTACCGAGACCTCCTCGAAAAGTTGGTCTGGTTTCGCTTTCAAACAAACTCTGGAGTGGTTCGTTTGTGGTGAGAACGTGATCCGAGCTCGGACAGACCCAATTGACAAAGAACTGCGCATTTTTGGACTACACCAGCTGCCGTAGTCCGCTGCACTGTGAATTATGGGATGAGGACTAACGTTTGTTGAGAGTTTACACGGTCAAACTTGGAGTTGTGAGGAGGTGCGGATCCTCATAGAAATTTGGTCTCATGACAATATTAGGACCCAACTTTCAAAAACTCGAAGAACAGTGAAATCTTAGCTCAGGGGAAGGGGTTTTCATAGATCTGTGGAATTTTCCCGCACGTTAATTCTGACCGATCGAAGTGCAGTTATGGGAATACGTTCAAGACACATCTGGCCAACTAGTGATGTGGATGTTGTCATGTGACTGCATTTTGGTACGTTTCATCAACTCATCAACTGATTCAGACCAGAGCAATCAGTGTGGTGTGAAAAGGAACAAAAACGCCCGAAAATGCTACTAAGGATATGCTTTCTGTAATTGCTTTACTAATTTGTTCCCATAGTTACTGATTTTGTTCACTTGTTGTTTAATTAGTATCCTCATTACTCCCCTTGCATTTAAATCCTGAGTTTTTCTTACTTTTCTTGTCCTGTATCTATTATTGTAGCATGTTTTTTTTTCCCTTAAGTTCTCCAACGTGTTTCGGTTGGAATTATTATTGAAGATAATTAATTTGATTTGATTCCTCAAATAATTGTTTGATTCCTCAACTTTGTGTGCATCATTACATCCAGTGGATGTACAGAATACGTTACCCTCACACTGAGTATATTTAAATATGGATTTAGCAGTGTTGCTCATCACAACCTGTAACCCAAAGCCCAGCAAGCCAGCTATCACCAAACTGCATGGAATGAACGCTAGAGCCTGCAGTGATACATGAGCCCACGCTGGAGAATAGGTTGGAGCAAGCCATCGCCCCCAGAGCCTGAGCTTTGCAAAGATGTCTGACCAGGTGTGTGAGCCGGCAACATCGTCTGCCATGTGAGTACACGTGGACTTCTTGGTTGATAGATAGGACCCTTTCACCCTACCACCATTGTGGGTGAGCAGTTGCTGGACTCCTGTCCCCTTTGGTTCTGCCCAGCTCAGAATTCCCAGCCTCCCCACTGGTTCAGCCCACCTCAGTATCTCCTGCGTTTCCACTGGTTTCATCCAGCTCGAAGTCTCCAGAGTTCCCATCCAGCCTCCCTCTCCTGTGTCCTCTTTCAAAATCAGCCAGTCCCTTAGCCCTATCTCCGCTGTTTCCTGTCAACTCCTTGACTCCTGCTCGACCTCCCCTCTGTGGTGTGGATTCAACTTTGACCTTCCGTCATCCAGTTGCTACAAGTCGATTGGATCACCCTGACTCTTTGGCTCCTCCCTCCTTTGGCTTCACCTTGGACCATCAGACATACGGCTCCACTTGGTTAGTTACCAGTTCCTAGTTCCATCTGCTCGCCATCTGTGCTCAGAGCTTCACTACCATAGGCTCCGTCCCCATTGTCCGAAGGATGCAAAAGTCCAGTGGAAAAACTCCTGGAATATTGTTAAATTCTGTGAAAGTCGATTGACCAGATCGATAAACATTATGCTGACAAATGGTTTGAATTTATGGCCTCATGTACCTTTCTCATCCTACACGAATCTGAATGTTTCCATGTTTGCGATGTAATATTTAATTCCTTTTGTAAGCCACCGATAGTACTCGGCCATGGGGTGGATGTCGAGTTGAACTGCACAGCCCTAAATCAGCTAACTTATATTTTATTTCAAGTAACACAAATGTTTTATATGGTTTAAGTTTACCAAAACTAATAACAGTGAAGTAGTTAATGTTCCGTTTTTTTATCCACCAAAGCAAGGTTGGTATGCTCTCTTTACAACCTCGGTTCAGTGTCTTTTTGTGGATATGCACATATATTCTGCCTTTAGAATCATCCACTCAAACTGGTGATCCCAATAATTACAAATAATATGATGTTGTCTGCTCTTAAAAAGCAACTGTATTAATATAGTGATTTAATATTTAAATTGATTGACAGCCTTAGTTCAAAGTGAATATAATCAGACAGGATTTAAAATCAGCTAGGTATCAAAATATTGTATCTATGCATTAGGTCTTGCAGTGTACATGCAGCCTATGAGAATGTGTCTGTTCTTTTAGAATTGCCGTTTTCCCTCTGATTCAGTTTGTGGTTTAATCTGAAGCTCAGAGACGGATAGATCTGCCTGCTCACGGCCCACCGTGTAGCTCATCTGAAGCAGATAGAAGCTCCGCCTGTCTGCTCTGCTGCAATTGCTCCCAATCTAAATATAGACTGGAAAATATTATCCACTCCTTCTCCCCCTCATACTTTAAATAATTCCAGTGTTATCAAGAAGCAGAGATGTATCTCATCTTGTTCTCCTGGCATTCTGCTTTGTTGAGTAATGCAATTTTTTCAGCTCGCAACCCTCTCCTACTGCTGAGCGTGTCACATGCAATAACTTCACTTGGCGGTGTCTGGAGTAAGGCGGGGGATGTGGAGCGAGAGAAAGAAGAAACTGAATTACATGCACACACACACACACACACATGCTTTCCTGGTTGCTTGTTCATCCCTGTCCACACAGAAGTCAGAGGGCACCTGTGTCAGTGAATTTATGAGGCATACACAGATTCTCTTTCTACTATATATCTGACGCATGTCATTTTTTAGTGTTGGGGTTAACGTATTACAAGTAACGCGAGTTAGGTAATCAGATTACTTTTGATGAGTAAAGTATACAGTATAAAAGTAAAGTATAAAGTATACAGAGTAAAGTATACTAATAATGAGTAAAGTAATGCATTTTAAAATTTACAACCCCTTATTCACATCGCACAAATTCATAGGTAATCACCCCCTTTTTCTGTGAGGCTGGAACTAGTTTAATACTCCTCGTCGTGAAATCCTGGGGGGACCAACTACAGATCTCTCTAAAATTCAAGCATCTCTCTTATTTAACTCAAGGGAAGTGATTCCTTCATACGTCTTACACACCTTCTCTCCATGCTGAGCATTTCCACCCTCCATCTGTGTAAGCCTGAGTTCCATATACAATCTTCATCTTAGGCCTGCTTTCTGTTCCACCTTTTTTCCCTCTGCCCTCTCCAGTTGTCCTCTTCTTTCACCTCTATGCCCAAATGGTCTGCTGCCATCCTGACCCTGGTACCCGGCCCATCGGGTGGCTAATGAAAAACACTGCTGTGTTCTTGTGCGTTTTGACTGGCACAGGGTGGAGTGTGGCCTTATGCTTTGAGTCGGTCCAAGTCACTGCCTTTCCATGGATTAAGTGGATCAGAGAATGCCCGCCGTTCTCCAGTCTGTGTACCTGGCATCAAAATCTTGA